CTTAAACCATATTTAATGTCTTTTCCTTACACGATTATCATCTTATCTTTATTATGTCATAGAAAGTTCTTAAATTACCTTATTTTCAAGCCTTTTTATATATAATATATATTCTGTAACAGATCATTTATAAGGAAATGTAATATAGTAATGGAATGAGAAAAATTACTACATGATTGAGAAAGGACTCCTACTTGTGACAAGTCTAAGACAATATTCTAAAGAACAGTTCCTAAGATTAAAAAAAAAACATACTTTTTTCCAAGATTTTAAATAGGCTAGAAAAAAAATTATTTTCAGGTAGTTGTGCTATACCAAAGAACAAAAAGATGAACTGTTTCTTAGAGCTAAATGCTTTAAGAAAAAACAAAAACTGCTGTGTACAATTCTATTTTTAGAATGAAGAAAATAGCATAAATTTAAGATTGGATCATTCTTAGGTTAACTACCACCACATGTGGCAGATGTTTGTTCTTAAATAGATGCCAACTGAATATATAGGGAGCAATTCAAATTTAACATTTACAATTAAACTCAAAACCTCATTCCAGATCTTTTCAAGTGAGCAGTTATAAACTAAATAAATGTTATTTGTTTAGAGGCATAAATGAAGTAGTAATTGATATCCTAATTAAATTAAAGAGCTAATGCAATTTTAGATGAAGAGTAAAAGCACCAGAAGAGAAGATAGCCCACTTGAGTTCTATTTCAATAATTCCATTATGGAGGTGTCTCTGGAGTCCCAGTTCCATTATGTATAGTATCTCTAGGGCAATGATCCCAAGTCTCTGTCATATCATGGCACATACAGAAAATGGTAACATATGAACATCTACCTGGAGTTACAGAGGTCGTTACTCAAGGCTGGAAGCTGGCTTAGGCACTCTTGCTGCCCAGACAGTTGTGGGGTCAGCACCTCAGTGCACCTGTAACCCATCTGTGGCACATCAGTATGTCTTGACCCAAAGCTTGGAAGAGCTGTGACCTTGCTACTCAGATTGTGGTCTGCAGACTAGTAGTACTGGCACTCCTGGGAACTATATGAAAATGCAGAATCTTGGGCTCTACCCCAGACCTACTAAATTAGAATCTGTATTTAAACAAGATCCCTAGGTGATTCACGTACACATTAAAGTTTAAAAAGTACTGCTCTAAGAAACTTTTAGCTGTAAAATTCAATGAACCTAAGAATCAATCTGTTTCATAGAAGTAATAGAAAGTAATAGAAGAAATTCAAGAAATAGAAGTGTATTCAAGAGTATATTTCATAATCTTATTAGATTTTATATTATAGTTACGGTAAAATTTAAAACTTATTTTTACACAAATTTGTTTCTAATTTTTGAAAACAAATATTTACTTGTTAATTAGAAAAAGTGAAGCATATTTACCTGCTTGTACACCTGTCGTAAATACATGATCTCTTCCACAGTTCCCAAAGATATCAGCCTAAGCACTTTGACATCTCTGCATTGTCCTATCCTATACGCTCTGCAAAAAGATTAAAAACAAAAACAAACAAAAATCAAGTGAACTTTGGGTTCAAGAGATAGCTTTGGACATAAAAATGGAACATTATTAAAATTTTAATTAATTNTTAAAAAAAAACATTTTATGTTTAGTGTTATATTTAGTAATAATGCAAAAATATAAATTCATATAAAAGGACTGGTTATTGAGGAGAAAAAAATTACAGAAAAAATATACATATCAACTACATTTCTGTTACAAACATCACATTCCATTATCTAAAAACTTTTCCTAAATTCAGGTTTTTCCTTTATGGCAGTCTTAAGCTTATGAATAGATTGGTCACAAATGATTTCATTTATATAAACCCCCCCAAAATGCAAAAAGTACACAGTGTACTTTCATAAGGATATACAGCAGACCCACGTTTGCTTGGGAATGGGGGTGGGGAGAGGTGGGAGGGATGGACTACCAAGGGGCACAAAGAAAATTTGTGGGATGATGAATATGTTTATTATATTGATTGCAGTGACTATTATATTCAATATATTGATTGCAGTTTCACAGGTACATACATATGTCAAAACATCAATTGTGCATTTNTTTTTCTCTCCAGAAATATTTATCTCCAGAAATTTTAAGGATTTTTCACTTTATCCGTGGTGTTTTACAATTACGGGAAGATGATGTATGGATCTATTTTCATCCATCCTATTTAGCACTCAGTGGGCCATATAATATGACCCTTATTATATATTTTTTACATGTTTCTTCCCCTCCCTTGCTTCTGTTCCCTTTTTCAACTATGAGGCTGATATTGGAACTTCTAGATCTAGCTTCCATTTCTCCTAACTTTTCTTACATCTATCTCTGTTGTTTTGCTCTGCAATCTAGAAGAATTGCTTGGTTTTTTCTTTTAGATGAGAAGAGGCTTTGCTACTTGGCCTCTCCAGAGTTTTTCATTTTCTGAATCAAAGATGGATTCTTTTCTTCAGTTTATCCTTGCTTCTGGGATCCTACACCTCACTTATCATTTGAAGATATTATTTATATTTCTTGAAAAATCTCTTCCACTCTCTTATATTAATTGTTTTCTCTGATGTTAATTCTTTTTTTGAGTACCTGTATTAGGTTCTATGGCTCCTGTAACAAATTATCATAAACATGATGGCTTTAAACAACAGAAATTTATTCTCTCAC